AAAAAAAAAAAAAAAAAAAGGAACTATAATAGAGATTGGTTCTCCAGCCTAATGACATGAAACTTTGGAATCAGCTAACTCTTCGTTCTGAGTCACTCACTAAACAATCTTCTATTCTTAATTTGGTTTCCTAGGGAGGTTTTACTCTGGGTAAAAAGCCATGCTGAGAAGGGAATAGGAATCTTCCACTACACTGGGTTTCACACACATCACTTTCATTTCTCAATCCAGCTTCTAGGAATTCCTCAGGGACTGAGATTTTAAAAACACAATAATTAAGATATGGAATGAGAACAAAATACAGCCTTCTGGCCCAAGCCCTGATTAGCCTGGCCTTAAAAGGCCACTTGGCTTTACTCCTATATTACACACAGACCAAAACATATAATTACTAGATTGTTTCCTACCTGAAGTACTTTAGCGAGACTGGGTTTTCGGAGCAGCACAGGTGCTAGTGGTGGTGGAGGAGGTGGTGGAGGTGGAGGAGGAGGAGGTGGAGGTGGAGGAGGAAGATGGCTGGTTGGCTGTGGCAGTGTGGGAGGAAGCACAGCTTTGGAGTCTTCGGGGGTGATTAGAACACAGGCAGGCACATTTGTAAGTTTACCCATGTGACACGTTTGACCACAGCTTGGACAGGAAGAACTTTCTGAGATAGTCTGGAAGAAGACATCACATTTGGCAAATAAATAGCAAGTTAATTTGATTCCTGAAGGTGACCATCATCAAAATAATAGCCACCATGTATTGAATGCTATCTTATCATGTGGGTCATAATATTTTCTCATGTATGATCACAAGTTTCTTCATTTCATTCATTCATTCATTTATTTTGTATGTGCTATATGCCAGGCACTATAAGTACAACATAGGCCCTGTCTGTCACCTCATGGCGCTGACCGTCTGGTGAGGGAAGACAGACATTAAACATGCACAGAAGGCCGGGCACAGTGATAGACACCTATAGTCCCAGCACTCTGCAAGGCTGAGTCTAGCAAATTGAGTCCAGGAGCTCGAGACCAGCCTGGACAACATAGTGAGACCTCATGTGAAACAAAACAAAACAAAACATGCACAAACACACTCAAAACAAAACAATACTTCAGTAAGAGCAATGAAGTGTGCTGTGAGAATGAACAGCTAGAGTCTTAGGAAGTGATATTTAGCCATGATCTCAAGAATGAATGGAGACTTAGCAGATAAAGAGAGATAAGGACTACGGGAAGAGTTCCTTTCAGAGGAAAAAATATTTAATGCAGTCAAGAATATAGTACATTCAAGAAACTGATAAAGGCCAAGGATCTGGAGCATGACTTCTGTGGGAGATGAGGCCAGGCAGGCAGCAATTACCATTGCTGAAGAAATCATGCAGCAAAGAGGAGAGGAAGAAACTCCTTGTCTCCTCCCTCCCTCTAGTCTTTCATCAGTGTCTTCCAATAGGCCATCACAACCAGGAACCAGGTGACCTGGAGTTTGAGGAATATATCCTGCAGGAGCCAGCCCTCCCAGCAATACAGAGCAGAGTTTCTGAAGTGGGGCAAACAGCCCCAGGGACTAGCACTCACCTGTGGCCATTCCTCCATCTTCTGGTAAAAGCACCTGGGTTTCCCTTCTCTCCCTCAGTCCACATGATCTGGTCGGGATACTCACTCAAGGGCTAGACACATAATCCAGGCCAAGTTCTCTCAGCTGAGATTGTTCTGGTATGAGAATAAGAATCTAAGGCTGCCAGCAGCCATGTTGCCAGCACAAGGGGAGAGTCTGTCTGGAACATAAACTTACTCTAAAGGCGGCAGAACTGAAAGATGAGATAGAGCCAGGATGCTGACTATCATTTGAGCCTCTGAATCCAGAGATACCCTAGACTTACTGGTTTTATGGGCTTAAGCCAGGTTGCATTGTGTTTCTGTCACTTGCGGCTAAAAAGAATTTTGACTGATACAGCCTTCTAGGAGCTTTCTTAGTGAAGGAAATAACATAAGCTTCATTCTTTGTTCTATAACACCATCCTCCCTGGTACATTGGGATTAGTGATTTGGGGTTAAATTATATGAAGAGCTGAAATAGGAGAAAAGTCATGAAAGGTAGAGTGTGTATCCTAGAGGTGAAGGAGAGAAGGGAAGGTTTATAGAATTATTTCTCACACACACACACACACACACACACACACA